AATACACAATTGACACGTTATCCCGGTAACTTAGAATTGCAAAAACAATGTGTATCGCTCGTGCCATCGCCACTGTGGAGTGGGCTTGGGTGACCAAATCGCGCAGACTCGGAACACGAGACCGGGGCAGGGCAGGCAGTATCGGCTGTCTCGCCTGTAGTAACCCAGTCAAGCTCCAACACAATCCCTGGGACTACCGGAAATCCATGTGCCGCTTCGTGTACTGCGGAACCTCCATGACAACGATACACACGTATAATGTATTGGATGTGTAGACCACCCAATCCGCTGTTATGTAAGTGACGTTTAGTATGTCTTAAGTGTATGGTAGTCCTTGTCCATAATCGAAAACGCATTTCGCGTTTGCAGCTCACCACAGACGGTGGTAAAAATGCTTCGTTTCGGTGGCTTGGTCCAGGTTTATAGGACAAAACTGCAGTGTTCCGATTGAGTGCATTCACTGGACGGTATTCGCATTATCGACTGGGACGAGTCGACTGGTGTGATATTGGACACGTATGTGGTACCGTAATGGTTGATCGATTATTGCACACGCACGACGCATGCCAAGAATCGCATGTGCTGGAATCGATTGTTCGATTTATGCGAATATAACGTGAGGTGAGTTCGAGACCACAGTAAAATAAGACCTTAAATCTTGACTTAAAGCTTTCGTGACTGCAGGAATTCATATTCTTTGGGTCTTTCGGTAAAGCCACGTGGACATAAAAAAAATATCGACGTTTCGATCGCAACACAAGCGGTAGTCTTCAGGAAAATAAGACCTTACCAACAGGAGACAATCTCGACGCCAAGAGGTTAGGTTAAATCGAATGCAGGTCACAATAATTCGTCGAGAATCTGAAGAGTTTAACGGGGTTCCACGTGCGGGTAGCGAGCCGGCGTTCACGCGTTCGCTTTTTTTAAATGCTTAATGAAGGCACTGCGTGAACAATGGTGCAAAATGTATAAGCAGTACCACAGCGAAAACTATAACCACACGAGTGCTGACTGTCACGGGAGGCCATTGTGGAGCCCGTGGTGGTGTGTGTTTCGTGTTTATCGTGAGTGTATTGTGCGTAGTCGCCTTTATGTACGAAGAGTGCGTAACAATGCAGTGACTAATGCACGTGTAGGCGGATTGTGTAATGGGTGTCGTATTACTCCGTGCAGCGTGTCCTGAATGTAGCTTGTACTTGCTTGTAGTGCACGTGCTGTATACTGCGGAATACTGTATGTACTGTATGCGTGATGTGTACTGTGTGCGTGATGTGTACTGTGCCCGTTTTGGTTTATTGCAGTGTGTACTGTACTGCGTACAATGGGTGTAGTGTGAACTACATAATACAGTGCTGTGCGTGAAATACAGAGTGCGTATGTACTGTATTCGCAGTGTTTTTTTTAAGGGTAGTGTTGGATCGGTTTGTGTGGTACACTTTCCAGTGTGTGTGACGTGAACGTGTAATGTGTTTGGCGTGCATTACGCTGTTCCCACTAGGGGTATTGTGGTCGAGGAGTTGTGGCGTTTAGCGAGTGTTATTCGCGGTCTGCACATAACTGTGTGTACTGTACAGATGTAATTAGTGTAATGCGTGTGTGCATTGGGGGTAGAATCGTGCAGCAATTGACGAATGATCATTGAGCTCACGGGACGTAGAATTTCGTAAGGTTTTTCGATTCTCTTGTATTATGATTTTCCCGTCATCGTGGTAGCCACTAGGGGCGCTATTGTACTCTAACCAGATGACAACCCCATTTGAGAGACGTGAAAACACCATTGCCACTTGCGCAAGGGCGACCTATATTCTTTGGGCCTTTCTTTGGGTCGACCTGTTACATCAATTGTGTGCACGCTGCTATTCACCAATTGGTAACCCCCCCCCACACAAATATATATCTGAACGGTTAAGTTAGGTGGGGTGCGAAAGACGTTCAACATACAGTACGTGGTGGGTCCTAAGGGATGAATAAATGTGGTCCTCGTGTGCGTAACAGTATATTTTACTCCTTTTTGTAACGATGTATCGACTAAATTATATTCGTACGTGGGTAAGTCGCTTACGTTTTTTATAAATTAGCATCCTGATACATTTTGGCTAATGGATCGAACAAAAGTACAAACAATAGAGATGCAATAGTCCTTACAAAAGAGACGGTGCAATCGGGACAGCGGTGAATAATAGCATGGAGCTGCGACTTGCTAGGGTTAGGGCAGCTTACAGGAGTTACCTAGTGTGGTGTGTCCTAAGTGTATCTTTTTTTGCACGTACATTGTGGTGTTCGTATAACAAGCATACAAGATTCATATGTTAACCTACACATTGTCACATGGCTGCGTCAGTGTTATATAGTGAGCCATTGATCACGAGATTACCCAGTGGATTACTGAACTTTCTACAGCGCAACACAATGGCGAAAAGAGGCGATTCCAATAATTGATGGAATCATAAGGGGTGGATTAATACATGCCAAATACGTATCAAACTAGTGTGCATGTGGTGTGATGCTCGTGCTATGTGTTGTGTGTACACTACTGTATAGTGATTCACGTGTCGATAATAATGGGCTATACTGTGCAGTAAATCAATTATTGCCCCCTACTGCAGACATTTGGCAGAACCCTCTCGTGAAAGAGTCTCGGGATTCTGTGGGTTGAGCGCAACAAATAATGCGCGATTAATATCGCTGGGGCGATTATTCGATTGGGTATGTGGACAAACATTTAAATGGGCTACTTTTTTGTGGTCGATTCGGATTACTCTGAGCGCTTAAATATTCCCATCGCCGCCACACCCACCTGAAGGCAGGAAACCCCCCGACAAGCCACGCCTAGCGTGACGCGGCTGATAGTCGTGAAGCCTCCCACCCAGAGACAAGATTTTGTTTTTTACCCAACTATTTTTTTTACCTTTTCCAGTTAGTCGAGTGATCGAACTGATAATCGGTAGAGTAATTCACTACTTATATAATTTGATAGCCCAGCTGTTATTTTAATGTAATGCAGTTTATTAATTCAGAGGTGCAGTACAATGCAAAATAATTATGGTATTTCCACATAATTGAGGTATTTAATTTATTTTTAAGTATTTAGTAAGTCGACTAATTTTGATTTTACAGATGGTCCCGCTTTCTTGATCACATCCACAATTCTATCTGATCTGAGCGCTTACCATTTTTCTTACGACAAAGGGGAGTGGTTACGTCATGAGGCTTGACATCTGGAATGTCATATTTATGTCAGAAATTATTTTTATTGTGGAATATTGTTTGCTATCATTTGCATGTTCCTCCACTCGACATTTTTGCTAGCATGTGGTTATGGTTACATCTTGCAATCTAAAAGCTAGCTTGTTGCTTTCATGCTCCCTTGGATATCTTCAAACAATGTATCTTATTTATATTCTCATTCCATTATTCGTGGTTTTACAGGGTTGTGTACGTTCAGTGAAGTCCTTAAGATTGATAGTTTTAAATATTATTGTTATCATTTCAGATTGAGTGCTTTTTACTTTGCCCTCAATTTTAAATGCAGTCCATGACCCTTCTAGTTCTTTCAGTGTTGACTTTTCAAAATGATTTTTTTTCGGATTTTTATTTTATGAGAACCCCTCTATATTTTACTACCACTTGACCTAATTTTCTTTTAACAGTCAATGTTTTGCCTCAGCTTTGGCAATGATGCAGTCGAATGGCATCACACCAACCTGTGACTACTTTCTGTGTTAGTTGCCTTGCAGAAGACGGACATCCCTGACATGTTTAAGTGGTTGTTTGAAACTGAACTTAATAAATAAAAATAGCTTACCAATGTACCCTTAAGTTTTTCGACCAGTGTATTTGGGTGGGTATAATGTATGGATCACACACAATGGACTCGGGAAGAAAATGTAAACGCTGAAAAGTGTGCAAAACATTGAGATACGTATGCTTGGTATTTCACTAAGAAACAGAATGTGGAATTTCTGGATCGAAGCACAGATGATGAAGGGCTTCAATCTTTGTAGGGAAACTCAAGTGGGCTTGGGCAGGATAAAACCCGAAAAGAGATGATGGCGGACTTGCACGAAACCGGTGACTGGCCGCCTGAGAAAAAAAAACTGCGCCCAAGAGGAAAACCACGATGGCGATGGGAGTGATGAGTGTGAATGCAGAGTGACCATGATTGCAACGGCGTAGGGAAGACATGTATCTGTTAAATTACCGATGTATACGGTAAAGTATGTGTCTATAGTGTAGTGTATGGCTTACAGTGTAGTGTACATTTCTGGTTATACGCGGAGAGTGTAGTGTGTTTGTCTATGGTGTCGTGTATGGTATTGTATATGGGGATCGGGAGTGCAGCGGTTAGTGAGCTGGGCTACGAAACCCGGCTACGCGAATTCGATTCCCCCGGACACGGCCAACACCAGTGGCGATTATCTGAAGTGGTCCTGGGCCTCCCCTAGGTCGACTCAGCCTCAAGTGAGTACCTCGTGCGGTGTGTAAACCTCACTACGAGGGAGACAAAGGTAGCCGGGCGTGGTCCTTGCTCCGCACTCCTTCGTGTGCTGTGCCGGCGGCCTTCATAGATGCTCGCTAACAGCACTTTCCCCAAACGTCTGTCAAGGCTATATGGGGAATCTTTGTGTGGTGCACGCCTTGATTGTTAGTGTATTTCTATATTGTGGTGTGTGAGTTTTGTGTGTCTATAGTGCCGTGTGTTACATTCCATGAGTGCAATGTGTGTATAGTGTAGTTACTATTGCATGCCGGTAGTATACATGTGTGCACTGTCTTGAGTATTTTTTCGATAGTGTACTTACTATCGTGCGAGTGTAACGCCGTTGTATATGTACTGTGTTGTACACACTGTTATTTGTGATCAGTTCTTCCTGTGCTACACCCCTTTAGTATGTACTGTATACTCGGCGTTGTGTGTTGTACACGCTGCGAGTGCTGCCCCCCCCGTGTGCTCTCTCTCTCTCAGCGTCGTGCTTGACGCCGTTTCTTTCTCGCCCCAGAATGGAGTCGGACGGGGAGGCCGGGACAGCGGCTCCACAGGCGGGCGGGGCGAGCGAGCGGCGCGCCCGGGGGCGGCCTAGAAAGGACGGGGTCCTCGCCACCCCCACGCAGCGCCCCGCAAAGTAAAGCGAGCCGCGCACGGCGACACTCGTCGCGTTCGGGCTTCCGCGGGGGCTGGGCTTGTGCGGGCCACGCTTTTGTTTGTGGAGGCGAGGGGGCTGCTCCTCTGGCAATGTAATGAGTTTGCAGCTCTGAGAGGGCAATGGCTCTCCTTGATTGGTTGGAGCATCATCTGTGACCCGACTCTTGCGTAGTGCCCTGCGGTCAGTCGTATAAAACGCTTTAATTAAAAGCAATAAGTCGATGATAAAGCAATGTCGGTAGTTGTATGCGAGCGGTCGCTGCTGCTTCATTGTATAAGCACCACGTGGTGTGTTAAAATTGCTTTCTTGTAATGATTTCCGTGGCTCACTATGACGTGGCTCATTGTAGCACCGCGTATTGTTCTGGCTCATTGTAACAAGTGGTCCATAGCTCGTATCGTGCATGGGGTCCTGGCTCGCAGACGTGTTGCACACGTGGTGTAATGTGGCTCGTGTGTGGTGTGGCCGGCTGGCTGTGATCATGTGGTGTATACTGGCTGACTGTCACGTGGCTTGCCTCGGCTCATCACGTGACGAGGCGCGAGGCCCAGGTCGTCATCCCCGGGTGCTGCCCGGGTTCGCGCGCCTCTCATTGGCTCAGAACGGTTTCACGTGACCGCGCACGAGTGGAGGAGCTGGTTGCGGTCGGGGGGAGGGGCGCGATGGTGTTTGGGGGGAGGGAGGGCGGGGTGTTGTGGGGGGGGTGTTGTGTGGGGGGGGGGTGTTGTGGGGGGGGGGTTGTGTGGGGGGGGGTGTTGTGGGGGGGGTGGTGTGGGGGGAGGTGTTGTGGGGGGGTTGATGTTGAGGTGGCGTTGGAGCTGTGTTGGGGGAGGGGGCGACGCGGCCTCGGCTCCGTTCCCGGCTGTGCGCTCCGCGCCGGGTGTCGGGTTTGACCGCGAGGCCGGGACTACTTCTCGGGTTGCGGGGCGCGTGAGGCGGGGGCCAGGACGGGTCACCCTCCTCGTGCGAGCTGGAGGAGGGTTCCTCGCTCTGCTGCGGCTGCGGCTGCTGCTGCCGGCCCCGAGCAGCCGAGCCCCGAGTCCTGCCGAAGTGACCCGAGCAGAGGGGGAGCCGAGTAACGGGGAGCCGAGTCGAGGCAAACTCTGCCAAAGTGAGACGTGCCACGAGGGTCCGATCCGAGCTCCATAGAGCCGGGTGGTGGGGAGCCGGGTGGTGGGGAGCCGGGTGGAGGGGAGCCGGGTGGTGGGGAGCCGGGTGGTGGGGAGCCGGGTGGGGGGAAGCCGAGTGGTGGGGAGCCGGGTGGTGGGGAGCCGGGTGGTGGGGAGCCGGGTGGTGGGGAGCCGGGTGGTGGGGAGCCGGGTGGTGGGGAGCCGGGTGGTGGGGAGCCGGGTGGTGGGGAGCCGGGTGGTGGGGAGCCGGGTGGTGGGGAGCCGGGTGGTGGGGAGCCGGGTGGTGGGGAGCCGGGTGGTGGGGAGCCGGGTGGTGGGGAGCCGGGTGGTGGGGAGCCGGGTGGTGGGGAGCCGGGTGGTGGGGAGCCGGGTGGTGGGGAGCCGGGTGGTGGGGAGCCGGGTGGTGGGGAGCCGGGTGGTGGGGAGCCGGGTGGGGGGGAGCCGGGTGGGGGGGAGCCGGGTGGGGGGGAGCCGGGTGGTGGGGAGCCGGGTGGTGGGGAGCCGGGTGGTGGGGAGCCGGGTGGGGGGGAGCCGGGTGGTGGGGAGCCGGGTGGGGGGAAACCGGGTGGGGGGAAACCGGGTGGGGGGAAACCGGGTGGGGGGAAGCCGGGTGGGGGGAAGCCGGGTGGGGGGAAACCGGTTGGGGGGAAACCGGTTGGGAGTCGCGTGTGGCTGCTTTGCGAGCACCACAAATACTGAAATGAGTGCAGCCCCGAGTGCGTGTGTGTACACGGGTCTGTGTGCATTCTGTACTCGTACGTGCACGGATGTGTACGCGAAGCGTAAGCGTGTCGTGCATTCGTGTTAACGAGGCTCAATCCTTTGTAAACATTGCGTGCGCCTTTTTGCTGTGTAGACATGGATGTGGGTTTGTTTACGTATGTGTGTACACCAGTGGATGCGTGTATAAGTCTGTGGCTTTGTGCACCCATTTCTGCGTGTATATATCTCTGGTTGTATATACATTTGTTGTAAATATCTGTATACGTTTCTGTATATGATGTACGTTTTGCGTGTGTACCTTTGTGCAAATATTTCTGTACGCCTTTTGTGTTTACACGTTCGTGTTTATGTGGCTTTGCACACATGTCTGTGTGGATACATTAGTATACGTTGATCTACGTTTATACAGGGTGATACAAAAGTATATATGGGTGCACGATTGTGTGTTTACGTACAATTTAAAGTGCACCTCGCGTGGCACAAGCGCCACGGTGACGACAGCGGTTGTGTTGTATAGTACATTGCATTTGTGTGCGTATAGCTGTGTTTGTCTAACTCTGCGCGTGTCCACGTGGGGTCATTGTATTGACAGTAGTCGCAGATACGGGTAGTCCTCTACTTACGATGGAGATGCGTTACGACGACCCCATCGTAAGTCAAAAATATCGTAAGTCGAAAATGGCCTAGCCTACCCAGGAGTCTTAAAAGAACGGTGATAATTTAGCAAAACAGAGCGATTTATAGTACCGTACTGTATAAACTATATACCGTATCTATTTATTAATTACAATACTGTATTGCACAGTAAAATGTAAAGTAAAAAAACAAGGTAAATTCTTAGCCTACCTACGTGAACTGCAATTTCATAGAAAGTTCTTTCAGGAAACAATCCTATCTGCTATAAAAAAAAACGTTTAACATGCGTTGAACGTATCGTATCGTGGTAACTCTAAAATGAAATTGCTAAAGCTACGTATCATACATGCATTGAACGTATCGTAACGTATCATATTGTACTGTACTCACCAAGATTATGTCCGTCGTCTGCATGCTTGAACGATGTTAGTTTGTTGATGGCAATTTTGTCGTATCGCTATCGCCATCGTAAGATCGAAATATCGTAAGTCGGACCGTCGTAACTCGGGGACTAACTGTATATTAGTTCTATATATTAGTTGTCTATGGGTGCACAGCATTCTTTTCCACAATTACAAACATGTACATAGATGTACAAGAAACATTTTAAGCGTATCAACAAGTACCCGCATACGTGCATACGCAAGTACAAACATGCGTTTGTAATTGTGTATACGTTCATGCACAAGTACAAACATGCGTTTGTGATTGTGTATACGTGCATACACAAGTACAAACATGCGTTCGTGATTTGTATGCATGTATGTGGGTACTTGTCGATACGCTTAAAATGTATTTTTTTGCACATCTGTGTACATGTTTGTCTTACATGATTATGGCTGGGTGTACGCAACTTTGTTTTTGTTTACACATTTGTATACCCAATGAGGGAGAGCAGTGATGCAGTGGATATAGCATTGCTACGAACCCGGTGACATGAGTTTTGATTCCTGGCCTCGGTTAACATGAGTGGCGAGTGATATCTGAACCACCCCCACCCTCTTCATCAACGTGCATTAACTATTGCGATGGAAGTGGGCTTGAGCAATTGGATAAAAAAAACACGATAACACAAGCATTTATGTACTTTCATTTGCTTGTGTTTGTGTACATAGCTGTGTACTGTTATTGTGTCAACTTTTGATTACATAGTTGCATTCTCCATTATAGATATAGGTACAGGAGAGATTGTGCGTGCATATCTGGGTCTGCATACAGTCTTACGGACATGCACCTCTACACATGAGTGCGTGTGCTGGCGTATACGTACGTGGGAATACTGTACATATTTATCTGTACACGATGTACAGGTCAGCATGTGTAACTGCATATTTTTTTGTGCACGTAGTTTTGTCTCCGAATAATTGTATCTCTCGGTTTGTATCAATGAGTACACATCTCTGTATATGTGCACACATCAGAGCTCACGTGCAAATATCTCAGTATGCATGCCCCGATTACAATATCTTGTGATGTGTATACAGTGCATACAGTAAATATCCTGCATATGTCTGTGCTTATTTGTTTGTGCGCATTGTTTATGTAAACAAGTCTGCATTTATACACACATCAGGATGTATCCATGCACATTTATGTTTGCATGTGTTTCTCACTTTGCAATGTACTTGTCGTATTGTGGATGAACAAACCACTCTCTGTTCACACATGATTGCCTGTGAGCGACATATCATTTAGAGCCAGCAACCTTATTAGGTCTTGGTTTATTTTTTTCCAGCAACATTTGTTTAAGCAAGCAAACTCTAGTTCGGCATTGACTTCTGGTCGTCATCAGCCTGTAGCTGAGCTCTGGCGGTGTTGTGCCCCTGTCAGGGGTCGCCTCCCTTACTCTCTGGGTTTTGAGGCGCGGTGTTTGGCCGATGGGGGAGACCCATGCTATCTGATTCATTGTTGGGTGCTGCAATTTCTGCTCCAGAGTGGATGGAGTGACTACATTTCAGCACAAACCTTGCATACGCCACATCGTCCTAGATATGTATGTATATGTTGTACTTCATTCGTGCTAATCAGAGGTGCGGATTACAGGCATTTGCAGGGTTGGTGGACCAGTTAGGCCTGTGTGAGCCTTGGTGTGTGTGGTCTTCCTTGCTGGGCAATGAAGTGTGCCGTCAGGTGTAGTACAGCAAGCTTGTGTTATGCAGGCTGTCTGTGTGGGTCATTGGTGTCCCCCATTCACACAAGTGGGCTTTCTCCAGCCATTTTCTGCTGGCAGTTACAAATGCTCAAAGAAATTGCCAAACATCTCAGAATAGGACTTTTTTTGAAAGGTCTTTTGAAAAGGTATTTGAGGGTAAAAATGTCAAATTATTCATATAGTTAATTTTTACTCTTGTGAGGTGGGTGTGGTATGTATAGCGGCAACTGCCACTCATTTTGACAGCAGAGGCAGGTCATGCTGTCACCCATTGTTTTCATACAGCTAGTTGTTTCAATGTGCTGCTTTTTCAGCTTGTACTATAGTATGCATAGTAC